CGAGTCATTTGTTGTGCGGGAGGTTGAATTTTCGCAGCTGCGAACATGAAGCAAGCGGTGAATTTGTCGGAGTTTGAGTTTTCATGTAGCACAGTCACTATTAACGCTTCACACAGCTTGCATCAGATGGGATTACGGAAGTTCGTGCTCTATTATCTACGACAATGTCAAATACATTGTCAAAACCAATAGTGCCAAAAATTTGTACGTTCATAAGAAACTCGGCGCAACGACGAAATTTCAACGATGTTTTAAAAGCACGCAACGATCTCATATTGGAATTGCGAGCAGAAAGTGTTATAGATTTGTTTTTTGTTGTATACTCCTATTCTAGTCTAGAGGCAAGTTTTTAAACCAACCTTTAGCCCTTAGAAGGCTAGAACCTATGCTCGTACAAACTCACGTCCACCCATGTGCAACGCGGCGTAATAATTCATCCGCTCGTAACTCCGCCCGCCAGCTCGTGTGCCTCCAACGGTCCCTATCTTACAATGTCGAACAGAAATCGCTCCTCCAAAACGCCGAATAAACCAAAAGCCCATCTATGTAATTTCACAAAACGCCCCCTACGCTAGCCATGTCGCGCCAAATGTCGCGATACGAAGAAAATATGACCAAACACTTCATTTCTTTGCTCGACCATCGCCTAGTTCTTGTAGCTAAAGATGTGCCGGGTGCACTCTTTACAGAAGTGATGCGTGTCCTTGCACGAATCGACCAGGTACGGCACACACGGGCAGCAGCACAGCACGCACGCCAGCCCGGCCCACAGGTGCGTCTTCGACCCCGACACCTTCTCTACGCGCGTAAGCCCGACATGGCCGCAGCCCGGACACTCGACGCAGCTGCTGTAGCCCTGCAGCGCGTAGATGGGCTGCGTCTTGAGTCCGCGTGGGTTCTGGGGGTTGTAGCTGGATACTGAGGCGGACATTGTGGCCGTGCGGGGCTCGAGGGTGACGACTGGGATCGGCGCGTTCATGCTGGCGGATCGCGACGGCGGCGCGCTGCTGGCCGGCGGCGGGGGGTGCGTGTCTGGGACGCTGGACGGGTCGGTCGAGGGTGCGCGGCCGTCGGCGATGGGCACGACTTCGGGGAGGTCGTTGTAGGATGGAGGAGGATCTTGAGGGGGTTCGGCGGCCTGGGTGGGGTTAGAGGAGGACTTCTATACGTAGCGGGGCGGGAGGGGACGTACCAATACCACCGGCTCGGGCTTCTGGATTGTAGTAGACATTATCGTATGTGTGTAATTGTGTTTGTACTTGGCGAAGGTATTATGATGTCTGGGTTTTAGTTGTATGAAGGATGGTTCGCCGAAAGTCTGGGTATCAAGTTGCTGGGCGCGGGAGGCAGAAGGGGGTTTATATTTGAAAAACTCCGGCGCCGGGAGTCGACAGGTTTGGGGTCAATGCAACCTAAAGTCGTCTTCTATTGTTTCCTTCGACTCTAGGCCGCATGGCGACTAGCGTCAGGCTCACAGTGCAGGAGCGCGGCAGTGCTTAATTCCCGGGCCGGTCAAGGCTGTCACAGACATGCAGTGTCCCCGCCAGTTTCGACACCCTCAACCACGACTGAATACTCTTTCGACATTTCCAAGATTGCCCAAGCACCCAGTTTAAGTATTTATCTGTCGCTTGGCTTGCCATCAGCATTAGTCGAAGTCCATGTTACCAAGAAGCTATTATTTTGAACCCGAATTCTGTCGAAAATGACTCAAGTTTAATTATCAGTACAACATGCAAGCCCGGTACGTCAAGCTAGGATTCCCGTCGCATGTCACCAAATCCAGATATGCCTTGCGCAGTTAAAAAACTAAGCCTCTGACCCATGGCGACCTAGCTCCAGAAAGCGCGGTGTAGAGTACGTAGCGCCAAACCCTCCGCCTAGCGGACGAACGTTGGGGCGAAGCGGCCTTCGCTTCGCCTGGCTGCAAATAGCTAAACAATGCTGAAAGCAGGAATCTAAACAATATATTTGGGCACTAGCCACTTCCGCCAGAAAACACCTGGGAACGTGGGGCTAATAATAGTACCGTGAATTAAAGCTCGGACTGGGAAGTAAAACAGCGGGGCGCTTCTAGAACTAAGAGGGGCAGGGTTACTGCGTCCGGTGAAATACGGAGAGATAGCGTCATGCAGAGTTGGCAGGCACGAAATTGGTGATGCCGGACGTCGACTGCGGTATGGCAATTGTGGGAGTGGGAGGGTCTGGGACTCTGGGTTGATGGAGAGAAGAGCGTAGGCGTAGGATGTGTGATTGTTTCAATGCATGCAACCCGCCGAAACAATACCACCAAGACCACGAATAAGCTCTGTGGCACCCGGAAATTCTTATCACAGCAGCAGCGACTAGCTAGACCACAGTCGAAGTCTTCTTTCGCGTAGAGTTGTGTTTCCAGAGACTAGGCACCGACAGTAGGCTTGTCTGAAATAAAGTGATTACTACTTTCCTCTTTGGTGTAGGCGACACGCATTCGGCACCATGTCAGCGCGCCGAAGGGAGTTTCGGCCTTGTGCGAGCATTCAGAATCAATACAGACACAGTGAAGACGATCAAAGCCGAGATTACTTAATATTCGGGAGGAGCAGCACGGTGGCCAATGGGGGATGCAGGAACGCAGCCGCTAGGGCTGGATATCTTGATTACTATCGGAATAATTGCTGTGTGACGTCCTGTTTGCCTACGAGCGAAACTAGGCACCGAATAATAAGCGCGGGCGAGGCAGGAGGGTAGGATCGACTGGATACGAAGGATGCGCTACACTGCAGTCTGAGGTATGATATGCACTGTGTGTATGAGTGTGAGTGAGTGTCATGGGTTGTGTATTGTCAGCCAATTTTGTATATTGATTGGTTTATATAGTACGTCCGCCTCGGCACTCGTCTCGAACCGGACCTTTCTGGTATTTTGTGTACCCTAGAGTATATCTTGGAGCAGCTTCGAATCAGACTACAAAGTGAGCCGATAATATATCCGCAAATCGGTGGACCGCGACGTCGAAGAGCGTGTCGGAGCCCGACGGGGCCGCCGGGGCCGCTCGGTGGCCGACGGAAGCAAATTGTCGGACGTAGCCGAAGTGCTTGCAGAATCTGGCATCGCTGGCGGAGTTTCCTATGGGGACTTATTATTAGTGATCTAATAGCAAGTTTTTGTGATATGAATGTCTGAGACTGAGATGTCGGAATGACTGGTGGGATTTGAGGACAAAAGGCGGGGTCTGGAATGCAAGAAATACGATTAAGAAGCGCTGCACAAACAACGCCCCTGAACCTGCATCTGAGAAATATTTGCTATGTATATACAATCTAATTGCATATCATTCAGTTATCGATTATATCAATCCTAAAAAGCAACATAGCTACAAATGAGCTTTTCTCAATCATTGTTGATTAAAGTCATGCACTCGTGCGTATGACTAATCACAGTACTGACTCAGCTTTTGGTCAACGGGTTTTACTGATTTGTAGCACCATACATGAAAACTGACAAGTACTCAGTTATGCCGTTTTGAATTCAAGATTCAAGATTGGAAAAGCGAAAATCTGAAGTCACCTGAAATCGTAGGGTATCTTTCGTGATGTGTCTCACTTCAGTATTTTTATTCCTTTGAAGAAAAATTTGAGAAACAACTGTTGATGGCAAAATCAATAGTTGGAACATAGCTTTTGAAAATCAGTTCTTAGAGTAATCGGGGACCATCATTTCGTAACGCAACATGATCAGTATCCGAAAAACGAGTTTTCTCTCAATTTCCCGGCAGGTTATCGTCTGTTGAGCTTGTGCGCACAGACCACTCGTTCCTTAGTCCGAGCTTTCCTCGGGGGATTAAACGGATATCGCGATCCACCAAAACTCTCAGACCCCTCGGACTTTCGTGTTCCGATAAGAAAACCCGCTGTTTTATATGAGGGGCCAGGCCAGCCACCAGAAAAAAAACCATACACAGTTATCCGTCAACCCCGTGCCCGTACACTAAACCAGCCATCAGAATAGCTCATGCAAAGCAACGATTGGAACTCACAAATTTGCACTTCCCGGCCGTAACCATATATATCAGTGAACTGGCCGCATCGTTTTCGGCACTAGCGTCGAAGGTGTAAAAGTCGTACGATGTGGTTTCGCCGGAGTACTACCACGTCGTGCCCGAGAGCGGTGTGTAAAAGTAGTATGTAAAGGCTTAGGCACTTGCGAACTGCGTTGGGGGGCGCGGAAAGAGCGGCGTAGATGAGGGCGCCGGCGGCGAAGAGCGTGGGCACGGTGAAGTATGCCTGCCAGATCCCCGCGTAGCACCAGATCAAAGCGGTAAGAACCTTATAAGTAGCCTACGTATGCGCAAGGTATACGTAGAAGGTACATATATAGCCGGAATGCGGGTGATGTCGACTGGCACGGCCTTCGTGAAACAAGCTTTTCGGTGCGGTTGGGGGCTGTGCTTGCTGTGCTGGCTGGGTGGGGTTACCGAGATATCCGGAATTGGATGTCAGCTGCGAGCAGAGGAGTTGGAGATTCTGGCGACGGTGGTTTTTGTTGTATTTGCTATGAAGTGGCTATCCTAAAGCTCTGGGTACACATTTTGTTATTCTAAGTCAAGAGACATTCTTCTTCATGTGGGCCTCTTGACGTTCAGCGACTTAGCAATCTTCATATATACACAAAACCTGGGCCTTGCGGTTGTTCAATCGAAGTAAAATAGTCCTGGGTTAGATACATACGGCTGTGTCCTCTCTCGTCTTTTACACCTTACCGCAGTTCTAAAAGTTTGCTTGCGTGTCCGCATAGTCACATCCATCGGGGCTATGTCAAAGGAGCACATAACCCTCCCCTGAGTGCCTTACTAATTGCCGATGAGAGTTGATTCAGTCATTGAATGTGAAGCTTATGCTCACCCCAGATCCGAGCTTCTCCTCGTGAATAAGGCTCATGCCTAATTTACTGCATTAAGGTTATTTCACGAGGTTATGTTTCACTATATAAACCCGTGAGTTAGAGAAATGACATCATCAGGGCGTGTGGCTTAGGGGTATAGCGCCTCATTCGCATTGAGGAGATCCCCGGTTCGATTCCGGGTTCGTCCATTCATCTTTTTCTTTTGCAATTCTACAGTTCAGTTCGTTAGGAAGGGAGGCGAAAGACAGCACTCGATATGGCGCTTCAATTTTTGGATAACTAGGGAAGGACAGGAGGTATAGAAATTAGTTGCGATCAGATATTTGTAGAAACTTTGTGCAAAGTATTGGTAAAATTATCATTGAGTTTGTTCGTTGTATCGTGCCCAGGTCACTCGTTATCTAGTCCGATCGTGCCTCGTGCCGCTGGATTAAATTTTTATTTCCCAATTAACCACAGGTACACCTACCAACAAATCGCAGAATCACTTTTACAACTCCAAGGCGTTCTACTAGGACGCATCACTCAACAAAAATACTCGATCACTGTCACGACGGCCAGCAAGCCCGCCCACAGCACGCATGGTTAACAATGCGTAAACCAGCACTCCACCAACCGCCGCCCAAACTAGCCCAAACTTCCAGTCGCAGTAACCAGGCGGACCAGCAAGAAACATTCCCTGATTACCATGATGGATAGTGGCAGGGCACCCTGGGGGACCGTGAGCTTGGGGCAGCGCGCCATCCTCCTGAGCACTGAGTCCTGGGGGAGGTGCGGTGCATGACGCGGCCACTGCCTGTGGGCTTGGAAACCCCGCCGTTAGAGAGGCATCCGCCATCGTAGTGTCGTCTCCAGCCGAGCGTAGATTCCTGATATTGTCATCGTCGAGGAGGTTTTGCTTCGCAGCAACTGCCGTCGCTGTTCCCGTACATGTTCGTATATTATGTCCAACCCCTCCACAAGATCTGCACGTATATCGTTGTCTGCTGTTCCATTCAGAGCCGGTCCGTTCCCGTTGTGATGGAAGCCGTTTAGTCGAAATACTGCCGGATGGTGGTTTAGGAGGAGCATCCGCCATCATAGTGTCGTCTCCGGCGGAACGCACCTCGCCGAGTTCTGGATCGTCGAGGAGGATTTGCTTCGCCTCTTCGAAGGAGTGCATTCTCTTGAGGTGTTTTACCACGCTGTCCTTTCGGCCCTTCATACCACAGCAAGGACACTGCCATTGCGGGCCGCTCCTATGAAGCACGAGTCGGCCACCGGTAGCACCTGGCCATCTGACATTGCACTCCATTGAGTGGACGTTCTAGACGCAATCAGTGGATGACTTGTAGTGCAGGAATTCACAGGGCTCTACCTTCCTGTGATGGTCTCGGATCGCCGGTGTTGAGAACTCCATATGGCAGTCTACACAGGAATACATCGGGAGCTTGTTTGCAGCGGACGCTTAGAAGCCAAGATTGACGAAGGTGCTTTCAATTAATTGTTCTGCAGGACGATGAGGTTAGCTTGGGTATCGGAGGGGATAAGCTGCCTTACCGGCTCAAGCTGGTTTTGATGGGTCTTTGGTAAGATGTATCAAGTGAGGAGAAGAAGAGAGAAAAGGGATGGTTCGATGAGGAGGCAAGGATTGTAAACCGAGTACATAGTATGATGCATGTAAAGTTTGATGGTTTTTGTTTTTGTCGGTCAGTGCCACAACTACGGTCGGAAACAACAATACCCCCGTGTCCATTGAATGACTACACAAGTGTACAGGCAACGAAGCTCGAGCAGAAAAACGGCGAAGAGCCACATGACCAAACCCAAACAACCACCGGCTGGTGCAGAATCACCATCTCTAAAAAAGCACACCCACGAGTACACATCCCGATTGGCGGACTCCTCAGTTGTGCATGAGTGTACTGTCCACACCTCAGCGAGCATGAATCCAAATTAGCCATTAGTCCACGGACCTGATCTATTGTGTATTAGGAATTTAGGATGCCCAGTGGCATATTTGTCGTTCTCTCGGCGTCTCGGCGTTGTTCGGGGTCTCGGCGATGCTTTATGGGATTTGGCCGGGTGCCGGTGTGCGGTGGAATGGGCAATGGGCTGGCTGGTCGTTTTTGCACCGCTGGTCATTCGGTTTTGACTTTTGGCCAGCCTGCAACTTGTGCCATGTCAGTTTTGTGGCAGCATCGAATCTGTGACTAGTCTATATTTCAGGCCTCTCACACTTCACGAGCATGGTCACCGAATGGTTGTCGCAGTCGACAAAAAACACAGCGGCATAGATTTCTTCGCCACCACGAGTACACCAGTTGCACACCTACAGCTCCTTCTCAACCTCAATCTCTCCCCCCCATCACCCCCATCCCCCTGGCTCCTCCTTCTCAAACATCTCCGCTGCCGCCTCCATCTCCTTCTTTTCATTATCATTATCACATAGCAACGAATAAAGCAGCTCCGCACACCTAGATAGCTCGTAACGTAGCGGCTGTGCTACCCCATCTTCTTCGCTCCCGTGGCCGGGCTCCCGCTCTTCCGGATGCCGCCGCCGCCCACCGCCGCACCCGACAATAAGGTGTACTCTTTTCCAGTGTGTCTTTATCTTTAGACTCCAATGGTGTGGTAGTAGTAAGTAAGTTGCCCCGTGGCATGTTTATGCTGTTAGTGTAGCCTCGGAGTCGATACTGTCGGTACGAAAGGCGACATTTTATGGGATTTGGCCAGCTTTCGGTCTGCATTTGCACCAGTGGTCATTCGGTTTTGGAATTTGGCCTTCGGGACTCTTGCGTTACTTTCCCGGTGCTCGCTGGATACCAAAAATCCTTATATAATCATGACTGCGACCTGATGCGGGTGGTCACCCTGAACTCATGGTTTTACGGAAAATCCGCAATTCATAGGGAAGTTGACATAACCACGCTATATTATAGAACATCATATCTGCCATAAAAGCACTGTTCTGAAGAAACACGATAATCCGGTTCTCAGCTTCTTCAGATTGGTTAATGATTATGCCCAAGCCAGTATCATTTAATATAAAGTTCTGTCATCCCCCTGTCGTAAGTTTACATAATGGCGTTCACTTAGAGTGTTTCTCTATTGCCCCTTTTACTGGAACAATCACGAGTCGCGTCAGGATGCTCTTCTTCTGTTTTTACCTTCGCTAATCCATCGCTTCCCCCCCAATCTCTCTTCGCTAATCCATCGCTTCCCTCCCATCCTCTCATCCTCCCATCCTCCGTCTTCCTTCCGGATTCCCGATCCAATCCTCACGCCGTCAGTCATACTCAATTCGTCGGTCAGGGGCTGCCTACGCCGTCAGTCATACTCTATTCGTCGGTCAGGGGCTGCCTACACCGTCAGTCATACTCAAGATGCACCCGTCGGTGTCAACTTGCACCCGTCGAGTCCGCCTACCCTACAGCCGTTGAGATCGAGTCCGCCTACCATACGGCTTCGAGGCCGAGTCGTCGAGTCCGCTACCCTACAGCCGTTGAGATCGAGTCTGCCTACCATACGGCTTCGAGGCCGAGTCGTCGAGTCCGCTACCCTACAGCCGTTGAGATCGAGTCCGCCTACCATACGGCTTCGAGGCCGAGTCGTCGAGTCCGCCTACCCTACAGCCGTTGAGATCGAGTCCGCCTACCCTACGCCGTCGAGGCCGAGTCGTCGAGTCCGCCTACGCTGTCAGCACTCTATTCATACTCAAGATGCACCCGTCGGTGTCAACTTGCACCCGTCGAGTCCGCCTACCCTACAGCCGTTGAGATCGAGTCCGCCTACCCTACGCCGTCGAGGCCGAGTCGTCGAGTCCGCCTACGCTGTCAGCACTCTATTCATACTCAAGATGCACCCGTCGGTGTCAACTTGCACCCGTCGAGTCCGCCTACCCTACGTCGTCGAGGCCGAGTCCTCGAGTCCGCCTACCCTACGCCGTCGAGTCCGAGTTGGCCTACCCTACAGCCGTTGAGATCGAGTCCGCCTACCCTACAGCCCTGCCCCTTTCTTTCTCTTATATAGAAGAACCCTTTAGCTGCAAGTGTGATGCCCTTCACTGCAAGTCAGAACCGTGCTCGTTAGACTGGTGAAGTGGTATGCTCTTACATGCGACAGATGTTCTTCTTTTTTATTTCTTTCAGACAGACTCTTTAGCTGCAATTGTGTGCCCTTCACTGCAAGTCAGAACCGTGCTCGTTAGACTGGTGATGTGGTATGCTCTTACATGCGACAGATGTTCTTTTTTATTTCTTTCAGACAGACTCTTTAGCTGCAATTGTGTGCCCTTCACTGCAAGTCAGAACCGTGCTCGTTAGACTGGTGATGTGGTATGCTCTTACGTGCGACAGATGTTCTTCTTTTTTATTTCTTTCAGACAGACTCTTTAGCTGCAATTGTGTGCCCTTCACTGCAAGTCAGAACCGTGCTCGTTAGACTGGTGATGTGGTATGCTCTTACATGCGACAGATGTTCTTTTTTATTTCTTTCAGACAGACTCTTTAGCTGCAATTGTGTGCCCTTCACTGCAAGTCAGAACCGTGCTCGTTAGACTGGTGATGTGGTATGCTCTTACGTGCGACAGATGTTCTTTTTTATTTCTTTCAGATAGACTCTTTAGCTGCAATTGTGTGCCCTTCACTGCAAGTCAGAACCGTGCTCGTTAGACTGGTGATGTGGTATGCTCTTACGTGCGACAGATGTTCTTTTTTATTTCTTTCAGACAGACTCTTTAGCTGCAATTGTCTGCCCTTCACTGCAAGTCAGAACCGTGCTCGTTAGACTGGTGATGTGGTATGCTCTTACGTGCGACAGATGTTCTTTTTTATTTCTTTCAGACAGACTCTTTAGCTGCAATTGTCTGCCCTTCACAGCAAGTCAGAACCGTGCTCGTTAGACTGGTGATGTGGTATGCTCTTACGTGCGACAGATGTTCTTTTTTATTTCTTTCAGACAGACTCTTTAGCTGCAATTGTCTGCCCTTCACTGCCAGTCAGAACCGTGCTCGTTAGACTGGTGATGTGGTATCCCTTGCATGCACAAGAAGCTCTGCTGTTTTGTATTCTTGTTTCACAGAACCCTTCTTTACTCGTCAAAGTTGCGATTTACCTTAAGTCAAACTCCTGCTCATTAAAATGGTGAAATGTCACCTTTTCAAGACGGCTATATTTCCCCTTATTGTGGCGTCTAAAATCAAGCTAGT